CAAAAAAATTACAGATATCTTTTTTAGAACAAACAGGTAAGAAACTGTGACAAAATGGGTGTTACTGAAACTTTATTAAACCAAATTTGTACTTTAATACTCGACAGTGGTCTTAAGATTCAAATGGTTTATGAAAGACAAAAATTTAACGCTCACGACAAAAGGATGAAATAAATCAAACTATTCTTTTGACGAATGGCAGAGTTTGTAATTCTTGTAAGTCGTACGTATAGCTTTGCTATATGAACAGTTTACAAAGACTACTTAGCATTGAGCTATCTATTGTGTACTAGAAAATCTTCAATAGAGGTAAGTCGAAAAAACTTGGCTAAACGTAACAAAAAAGGATAGGAAACCTTAGTTTGATTAAAAATAGAAAGAAAAAAGGGGTCAAAGTTCTAAAAAACAAAATTGGGGGAATGTTTTCCGAGTTCTCTCTTACACAGTTTGCATTTTCGAACGACAGAAATATTTACGCTTCATAGATTTCACTTATTGTTTGTCAACATTGACAAACGGCTATCGACCTTAGCCAATATATCTTTTTCGATGTCCGTGAGCGATGACAAACGAATATTGTGTACATTAACGCGTATTTGGTACATATATATTGACGAATAGAACTGACAGACTATGACAAACATCACGATTACCGTATACAGGGATAGTATATTCATATAAATATTTTATACGATACTCCTCCCCCCCTCATAAAAACTTTTACCCTATCTTCGTAAAGAAATAAAGCTTTTTATAATTGATTGTTATTCCTTTAGTCTCTTTGTTTTAAGCCCAAAAATAGACTAACGTTTACAATATTTTCAACAATAAAAAATCCCTTTTCAGCAAGAATTTTGTAATTATATCTTTTGAAAATTTAAAAATTTTTACAAGCCTATACAGAATTAAAGAAATAGATAGAAACAACCAGCAGACTGACAAACAAGGAAGAGAAATAAACTAGAAAAATGATAGAGCTCTAGGGTGTTTGTTCATTTGGCGTTGTACAATGATTATTTGATTGGCTATCATTCGTTCACCTTTAATTTATCGCTTAGTCACTTACTGAAAATCTCCTTCTCTTGATCTTAAATTAATTGTCTATTGCATAGAAATTAGTTGGTTTATCAATATAAAATAGATATTTAATCTATCTAATAAAGAGTACATGAATGGGAAATCGTTGTCATAATGGTAGAGGGTTTTATTAATAATTTACCTATTTTATTTTCCCCCATTCACCAATGCCGATCCATCATTTCGGATTGGATGCTTTTCGAATGAAATATTTTTGCAGATTGAGAACCCTAAGAGAGATCATTGCTATTTTACATCTTCCATAAAATCTCTCTTAAGACAACTATTTGACATTCTTATACTGTAGCGAATATTGCAGCTATCTTACAATATAATAGAAAAGATTATGGATTAACCTTGAATATGGATTAAAGATTGATATCATGAATATATGTATATGTATGTGCACAAGTAGCTTGTAAATCTATTGAATATTTGTGATTATTTTACTGAATAACGTTTGAAATCTTCAAAAGTAATTTAAAACAATAGATCCCAATTAAAAATTTAGTGACTAAATGCCAAAGTTAAATATCATTTTTAATTAAGATCTTTTTTCTTTAATGACTAAATTCTATTGCAAGGAAATAATTAAGATCAAAGAAGCGAATTGTACTCGAGGATCTGTTAGCAATGCGGAAGATGTTTATTCAAAGTATAATTTTGCAGTTGGAAATTTTCTATCTTTTTGATTGTTTAAGTTTATTTGTAAGCGTATATATATACAGTATATATATTAATATTTATTTATATCTTCATTAGTTTATACATCTACCTATAAGTTGACTCAAACAGTATACATTATACAGCATATAAATACTTAGCTTTATACAATGTGACAAAGACTAAAGGTTAGTAACCTAAATCTTGATTTAAGCCAACACTCTTGCAATATTTTCCTGTGCTATAACGATATACGAGCACTATCAGAAGATGAGTATATAAAAAGACGGAAAGAGAGAGAGAGTGTGAGAGAGAGGGGGAGAGATGGGAGGGCCAGAGGGGAAAGTATAAAGAAAAAAAAAAGCGTCTCTAAATCATCCAAATGCCATAAAAAAATTAGTGACAAACTATGCCTCTAAATTTGAAACATACCTAGTAATTTTGACTCTTTCAACACAATTTTTCACTCAATCTTTGTCAAAGAGAGAGAGAGAAAAAAAAGTCACTTTTCGCTGATCTATGATAAACTATTACAAACTTTACGCTATAAATACTAAAGAACAGAAATATACTATAATCGTTAAATTGACAGAAAATTAACTAGAAACTTTATATAAAAAACTTACCAATTGGTGTTAAACAAGCGCACGTGTTCGACCCCATTTACATTTAACTGTGTAGGCAGGTAAAACATATGACGTCACTCTAATTCTTCCTCTACAATCTCTTCATTCGATGACACTCTCATTTCCCAGATTGAATCAGTTAATTCTAGCTTTTTGCTACATTACTTCCTTTATGTTAATCTCTTATGGGAATTTTACTGTCTCTTCTTGAATATATCTTAGTATATTTATTATCTCAAGTGTTTGTAGAACACCTATATGAACGATAAAAAAAGATATTTTTCAACATGTTTGTCATCTTGTATTTGATTGTGTGCTTTCTTCTTTCTTGTATTATTTACCATTAGTTCTAACTAGATATTTGTTGCATTGATAAACCGTTCAATCCGGCTTATAAACTATTGAATAATTGTTGATATAAAAAGATTTCTATTTGTTCAATTCATCTTTATTTCAATGGTAGAATTATAGTATTTTTATAAATATTAATGAGTTTTCTATTGAAAAACTAAATCCTTAGCAAGAATTCTAGCAAAAGAAAGAGCTAAAGAAGAGATTAAAAAATGCTTTTTAGTTCCATTAATGTAGAAAGCATTTTAAAATTATAATTGAAAAATTGAAACATATAACGACTCCATGTAAAACAACAAAAAAAGAAGAGTATATCATTCTATTTCTATTTCTCTCTTTCATTATAAACAAGTGTCACACGTGACTTTTTTTTAATTTATTTTTCTCTTATAAATGATTTAATCACGCAACCTCCATATGAACCATATAATTCAATTAATTAAACAGAATCCTTCGCTAAGAATAGAGTAAATATAGTAAAATTTCTCTATTCCCTTTCTGTATGAGATATTAGGATAGAGCATTTAGATATAGTATATACATATACAATGTATATATATATATATGCATGCTTAAAGTGTGTGCTAGTACTAAATGTCTTTAATATACTTTAAATTTATGAATTCTTTGATGCTCTTTCATCCTTTTCTACTTTTCAAATATATTAAAGGATTTTCTTTTCTTTTACAGAGAGGAGGCCATGTCTTCCCGATTAAAACTGTGCTGTTGAAATACTTAATAGTCTCCTCTTTCAATATAAGAAGATGACTAGTCTGTAGTAAAGACATTTTTTTAAATTTTACTTCGCTAAATGATAATATTTTATCATGAAAATCACTCTTATCAAATTTACTACAAACTTTCAAGGCCTACATCTATATAGTACAGCTATATCGCTATAAAGCTATATACTTCATCTATATTTTCCTTCTTCTAAACTTCTCGGCGATATCAATTTTTTTAAATTATTCATAATTATACGCCTTTAAGAGTAGAACCGAAAGGTATATAACTATTTGGAGTAATTATGATTGATTTTTTTAACTTTTAGTCACACTATCTTGTCCAACAATTGGGTGTCTTGTATAAATTTTAATATATGCGGTATGTCCAACATTTAATAAAATACATTATATAAAATGTACCAAATATTCGACAATCTAATAGACTCACTTCTCAAATTCACCTTTACACTTGTTAATTTCCATCTTCATCCTCCTGCACCTCAGCACCTTTCTTCTCATCTTACTACACCATACTATTACCAGTTGTTGCTCTAAATCTTTTTTGTCTTAATCTATTTGTTCCTGTGTTTTAAGATTTTATTAATAATATCTCTGATTCTAATTCAAATTTCTTTACATAATATGTACAGTATAGGTACCTCTATATCTTTTCTTTTATTTTATCTGATAGATGGCGATCAGCGTTTTAACTCCATCTGGCGGCTCCCGTATTTCAAATAAGAATAAGTTATAATAGGAAAAAGTTTATACTAATTTATCATGGCTTCATAATATGAACGTATGATTAATATAATAATCTAGAATAAGTGTCTACAGTTCTGTATCCAATACCAAGATTTACCTACTTAAACGTTTAAAGATAAAAGAGAAAGCAGTGACCACTTGACGAAAAGAAGACAAGTCGATAAAGAAAGAATTAATGTAATTTGGTGACTAATTAAAGAATTGAATTAAACAATTAATTCTCCTGATTAAAGTATTTTTTATGTAAAGAAAAGAAAGAATACAAAATTGGTAGTAATTCGAAATGAAGTGAGACTTTAGTTATTAGGTCAACTGTAGAGAAAAAAAGAAAGGGGATTTCGTTTTCCGATGGAGTAAAGAACTAAGAACACGGCAACCAGACGAAGAATATATGTTAGGATTTCGCCCAAAGTAGAAAGGCAATGCTCAAGGCTAACAAATTAATCTGCTGCCTTTGTTAGCACAGAACGATTTAATAAATAGAAAATCATTTAACTTCGTATTAAGAAGAGAGAGATAGTCACAATTGATAAAAACCTTTCTTTCTTCTTTTGCTCTCATATTCCACCTTTATTCCTATATTATTCTCTCTCCAAAACGCCATCTCTTTCTTTCTAATAGTTTTCTTTTTACCATAGCGTTTTTTTTTCATATTTTCTTACCCTCCTTTCATAATACAGTACGAAAGATCCTATTACGTCGTGCATGGTGAAACGTATAGTACTTTTTATGTAAGAAAAACAACAACATTACACATAACATATTCATTGTAATTTAATGTATTATAGTATGAATACTATAGATCTCAGTTTATCCTATTAAGAAAACGTTATTTAGCGTGTGTTTGTTGTGAAAATTTTATTCTAGTAACAGTTACAATATGCAGATAGTCGATGGTCTTAGATAGAAAAGCTTTCAGAAGGAAGTAAATCAAACCGAAGCGTCTAAATTAGATTACTTCTATTATTCATGCAGCTCTTTTCAGATGATAAGTAAAGTCTACTAACGTATTGTACAAAATCATGAAATGAACCGGAAGCGATCAAATTCTTAAAGTTCTCTTGTAAAAGTTTTTCGAAAGAGAGGAAGAAAAACTATTAAACACAAAATAAGTTTCTCATTTCTTCTTTAAAAACACCGAGGCGGAAAGAAATTAAAACAAAACCTGATAAATTTGCTGTATTCCACTTGTTCTTTTTTTTCTGTTTTGTTGCAATAGAAGAGAAGATTATTTAGAAAGATAAAGACAGATAGAGAAGTGTTCATTCAAACCCAAACCACGCTAAATTTATGAGAATGAGCCAAGCTTTTTCTAGAAGGATGAACAGCCCTGCATGCGAAATTCTTCTTGTGCATTTTCTTTTTGAATGGTTTATGTATGGCATAAACTGATTCTTTGACACCAGCAGCGGCAATATTAACAAACTCTTCAGAGTGATAATCGCTAAATGCTTTACCGCTGAAAGTCTCAATAAGATGAACGAGAGGTAATGGATAACCTATCGCTCTGCATATTATACAAGTTGTTCTATTTTCGTATAGAGTTAATAATTTTTTATCTTCATTATAATGTGATGAATGGCAAGGTATTAACTTTACATATGGCTTCTCGGGAAGAGGCGATTTCTGCGGATATATGGCAACGTCGGATAGGATAAAGAGTTTATCAAATTCTCTCTTAATACAGCACAAATACGTTCCGGAGTGTTCTAGGGTAACGTTAGGAATTGTTAATTTTAGATCATAGGTAACTTGCCCACCAGAGCCCACCACTCGTTCTCCCGAGGCAATCACATTGCCGTGCTGTTCAGCAATTTTAGTGTTATGCCTTTGTATTCTTAATATAGAATCAAATTTGACGAAAGGTAGGAGGATTCTTCTCGATTTTGCTCGGAGTAGAATCATTTCGTTTCTATCTTCTCCCCTTTCATGGGGGAAAAAAGCTTTGAAATGAAAGAGTACGGCAGTTTTTGGTCGTAAACTTCTTAGGGCTGGAGGAGTTGTTATCCATTCTCCGCAATTTATATTTTCAATTTTGAAAGCTGAATTTTTTGTAATCCTATTAACAATTTGATATTGAGTGCTTCTTCCGGTGATGATAACATCAAACCTAGCTATTTTATGAACCATTCTTAGCCTTTGTATATGTAAAGTTGTAGCAACCACATTACCAGCTTTTAGATTTACAACTTTATAGTTTGCATGATCTGAAGGAAAATAGCTCAAGTAAAAACTTGCAACTGTTCAATATTTAATAATGCAATTTATGTAATATATAATTTGATATATAAATATATTTGAATATTGCAGTATATCGTATATTTTATACTGCAAAACTAAAATTCTATTAATGTTTAAATAGGCTTTTCAAAATTACAAACATTTTGAAATTGGCAGCATTGCTGTATCTTCGTCAGATAATAATCTTCTATGATGATCTAACACCAACCATCTAACGTTGACATCTTCATTCGAGTAATAAACAACAGTTATAGAAGCTTTCTTTCCATGGGAACAATTGTGAAACCTTCTCTTATAGCTTTTAATTGCCGGAATTTGCCAAGATCTAAGCATTCGATTGTGCTGCAAAACGAGATAAATAGATTGATAAATATCTGACTGACTGACTGGCTGGTCGGTTTTCTAGATACGTAGATAGATAGATAGATAGATAGATGGAGGGAGGAAATAAAAAGAAAATGTTTAATATAGTATTATTAAAATCGATAAGCATGAAAAAGTTATGATGTAAAACGCCCAATAGAAGTATTAAAAGAGACTACTACCATACTGTATATAGATGATAAACAGTGAATATTGTATATACTATATATCTATTAGTATTACAGTATGTATAATATACTAATACTTTGGTTGAGTTTACTATAAAATGATTCATCACTACTTTTATTATTGTTTCTAAAGAAATGACAGTTGTTTCCACAGTGTTTTTTTGTAAATATATATATATATATATCTGTAGTATACGTAGAATCTATAATATTTGATTATATATACTATAAATCAACTTTTTCCTAATTGACTGATAGTCTTATTGGAAAATAATGTGACTCTTTGTAAAAACTATTCGATTAGAAATTAATTGAGTTTATGAAAAAGTTATACGATGCTGCACTTGTAAAGTTCAGTAAAAAGATGAAATATTAATGATTTTATTCAATATTTGTATATGGAATTTTCATTATTGACGAAGGTTTCTATATATACTATTATATATACCACAACCTATTTATCTCTTATGTCTTACCTTTTAATATAAACTTTAACTTGTTAAAAAACTTAATTGAATCAAGTCTAATTAATCTATTTTTCCCTTTTATCTTTTTTATTAATATCAACACAAAAAGATATAACAAAAACATGAAAACATGACTAGAAAGACTTGCTTGAAAGTTTTATTCGACCACTTAAAACAATAAAGAATAAATGAAATAAAAACAGAGTGCTAAATTAGCCACCTTTTCCTCTAAATAGCAGGAATTTAAAGGATTCATAGCTCCATAATGAACTAATCGATATATTAGTCTAACAATGGAATAGACAATACCTTATAGAATATTTAGTATACGTATATAGTCTATAAATTACAGTGCAGTACGTAAAAAAAAGGCTTTTTTTTGTAAGCGTGTATGCGTAAGAATATGTGTGAATATGTGAATGTATATATATATATATATATATATATATGTGTATATGGATGCAGCCAGACACATATTCTATATACATGCTTATAAGTAGTCATGTGTATGAATGCGAATGTTTGTGTTTATGTGTGTTTGTTTATTGGTGTGTGAATAGTAGAATAGTAAAATAGTGAAAAGAAAATCTTATGCTTACATTATGAAAAGGTATAAAACCCTTAAGGAATTGGGAATAGACGAATGGAGAATTTTTCACCCCGACCAATTTGTTTTCGGATGCTTTTTTTCTACATTTACTCTAAATATTTAACGTATACTTTTTAAAAAACGCCATCTCATTTCCGTGCAGTTCGTTGAATAGAAATTTTATGCAAAATCTTCTCTACTCTACTCTACTCTCTCCCCTCGCCCCCCGTCTCTCTGTCTCTCTCTCACTTTCGCGTCCTCTCTTTCACACACACTCACATATATGTATATACAGTATATATATAAATTTATATATATATATATATATATGCGCACATGCACACCTCTCAAACAAAACCTATGATGCATTCAAAATTCTCTCTGTTCTAACCAACTCACTTTTTATTTCAGTTAACTAATTAACTAATTAATTAATAAACTGATTGGCTAATTAATTAATTGAATAATTAAAAAGGTTTATTACTTTATTGCATACATTTGTTCACAGTTTTGCAAAAAGAGAAAAGAGGTAAAAAAAAAATAATGGTAATTTTAATATAAAGATATGAATATAGTAATAAGTAGATTATATTGTAACTGCGTAGTTATATAAACATCATATACTACTCTGTACGCTACATATTTAAAAAAAAACAAGTAATAATTAAATAGAAATGATTTGCCATATAGCTTAGCGGAACAGTGATATTATTTTGCATTTTTCCACTCTTTTCCATACTAAATTATGGAACAAAAACAATATTGATCTCGTCTCCGGTTTATTATGGAATTTGGTCGAGTATAAACGTTACTTTAATAGGCAATTAAACAACGTTACTTGAGAATAATAGAGACGAATCTGTTGAAATATGAGATTAAGCTAGAATCATAAACCTTTCGATTTCTGTGGACGTTTCCATAAAAGACCATTATAAACACAGTTTAGCTTTTTTCGGTTGTTTATTCATGCTTTGGTCTACTGAACGTATTCTAGTATTATTCTAATAAAAAGTTTTCGCAAGTTGAGCGTACTATAGATGGTTTTATCCCGCTGTTGGATAGACAATTCTATAGATAATTGCATAAATACGCTATATACGACATATTTTCAAATACGTCTTTATGTTCTAACGAAAATGAATACAGAGTAGTAAAGTACTTTTTCTTTCTTCTGTCAAAGACTGGACTTTATCGATTGCGAACGCCTTCCATACTCAACAATTGATTAGTAGATCTAAAGGTAAAGATTTATGACACTTCAATTCTCATCTCATTCTAATTAACAAAGGTTAATGAATTATGCAGCTTTGATTGTCTATACTAAATATTACCCTATTTATATACTTAACACATATAAGCGCATATACGTAGACCAGTGTCTATCTCTATAATCAATTTCAAATATATTATTCAAAAAAGAGAGAGAATTTTCACATAGAAAATGAAAGAAAGAAGAGAGTTTTTTTTTCAATTTATTAATTATTAAACTGCTATTGAAATTCAAAACTATTGAATGTTTTAAGTAAATGGCCCTAATAAATTTGCTTATCTACCTTTAATTTAAATAAAGAACAATGAATAATCTATTTATGCAACAGTTTTATTTCACCTAGCATAATATAGAATACACAGCCTAAACCGCAGAGAGACTGTACGCAGTGTATAAACTTATTTACATATCTATATCTAAATATATAAACAAATAAACGAGTTAATAATGATTTTGTATATATTTTATCCTCTTAAGGTAATACTATTTTGCTCTGTCAATCAGCTTTGCTTAACACTGGACTGGCGATGCTTTTCTATTTTTATTCTCTTTATTAAAAGCAAGATATGTCTTTGTTATAATTAATGTTTATATATTTGTTTGTTTGGCTACGTTTTCAACCTCTCGTAGAGTATTTATTCATTTATTCATTTCATCTGTCCATCTATACATCCATCTCTCCTTTCTCCTCCATCTTTTTCTTTCTTTCTCTCTTTCCCCCTTTAATCCATTTACACAAATATTCCTCTTTTATATATTTACGTATAGTGAATGCATTACAGTATATCTTTTCTATCTATAGATCTTTTATGTCTTAATTTAAAAATATTTATTAATTAATGGCTTTTTTCCTACTGTATTTGCTAGACAAATGAAATTTGATGAGCTTTTATTGTAATATTATTTACATAAATTTTAATATTTTACTTGTTTACTAAAAAATAAGTGAAAATTGAATGTTAAATAATCATTTCGTATGCTAATATTTGTTAAAAAATATGAGAGAGAGGGAGGGATGGAGGGACGGGGGAGAGGGGGAGCGAAAGTGTTTCTTTATACTGTATATTCATTTCATTTATAATGTTTTTATTAAACATCAATGAAAATTTAACGAGCATTTGTAAAACTAAAAAGAAAAAAGAGCGTTACTTTTTACTCTACCCGGTCAAAAATCCCCTTGGCCAATAAAAATTCCCATAAACGCCTAAACTCCCATTACAGAGCCAGTATTCTGGCAAACAATTCTTTACATCGGCGTCACGTTCTCTTATCCCATAAAATGATCTTATAGAAAGTAAAGAATTTGGAAATTTCGATTTTGATATTGATTTCCCGTTCTAAATCTAATTTTCAAACGATACAAAACTCCATAAGGAAAAGTCATAAACTATTATCAACGACAAATTAAAGGTATTTTTCAAGAAGGAATTTTACTTATTTGACGGTTTTATTACAAAATTTTCTGCATGATTCACCAAATACCAATATCCAAATCATTTTCATGCAAAAATCGTCTCTAGCTTTATTTGATAAAGTCATATGAGATTCAAGCTGGATTGACAAGCCCTAAAATTAGCCAACTCGAGCACTCTCGCCCCCAAAGACGTCCTAATACAATTGCATAATTCGAAGAGAGTAAAACAAATGCAAAAGCTTTTAACTAAACTAATAGCAACAAGATCCAATAATATCTAACCGGATACTCACATTAAATTTATAACTCTTCTATTATCAATATACAGTAAATATCTAAAGCAAAATATTTAAATATATATATATATATATACATCTCTTAAATACGGTAGCTTTATTACATCATTTCTTTTGTATTTAGAAGCTTTTCTAAGCAAGAAACTATTAATTTTTTCTTGAATACACCTTATCATTTCATTGATAAAATTACACTCGAATACTCACTTAGATATTCTTACAAATTTATACTTATTACTAAGGCAATAATCTTATTACCGGTTTCCCCTCCCCCTCCCCCCTCTCTCTCCCTCTCTCCCTCCCTCAGCCTGTCTGTTTTTTTTCTCTCTCTTTCTTCCTTTCTAACTTTCTTTCACTTAGTTTTAACGCAGATTAGTAAATCTCCACTCTAGTGTATTTACACTATGACACAACTCTGTTGTTTATATAAAGATATAAATATGGATATTTGTACTTTGGCTTGTTTACAAATATTTATACATATAAATTGATATTTTTCGGTGATATATATATATATATCTACTGTATATATTCTGCATATATTCCAAGTAACAAAATACAAAGAGATAAACACGTACTACCAGTACATTAATCTAATTTTTGTTTTCTTAATTTGATAATTAAGCAATACATATCTATAATAAATAAATAAATATAACATATATGTATATATATATATATATATATATATATATATATATTGTATTCTTGTATCAAATACACATAGAATAATGAACTGTTTAGTAAATAATCTAAATCATATTACAGTTTCTCTTTTTAGCATGAATCTATTTGGGACACAACTTCCAGGAAATATATATATATATATACTAATATGTTAGATAACCTCCTAATATTTCTGATACTCGTACTACTACTACTACTACTATGACTACTACTACTAGTCGTTTTCCTACTCATCTACCCCTTCTTCTTTTCTTTCCTATATTAGTATAGTTATCTGAAAATTAAACGTTTACTTTACCTTGTACATTTCATAATTAATTGCAGATAAAACGTCGAGTAAAAAAAAAATTATAATGAAATCCTTTAGACGCTCATGCTGTGCCGATCGTCGCATGTTTGTACAACATGTGACGCCTCTGAAGCGTCTGAAGCGAGTGGCGTCTCTTGATTGACCTACTCTACTTAATTATTTATTGTTTTTTCCTAATTATTATAGCGTTAGCCGGTAGGAGTTTAGATTAAAACGGATTAAATCGTCATAATACTTTATTAATTTTGGGTAGAAAAAGAGATTTATTTACACTTTCAATGTCATAAGGCTAGTGTTTCATGGCGCATGACAAGTTAAAGAGAAAAGCAGCCGACTAAGAAAGAAAGGAGAGAAGAAAAAGAAGGAAAGTGTTAATAAAAAATATACTTCATTCTAAAATTAGAAAACAAAATATCTGTAGAATAACTTCAACTTCAACTTGATTAATTCATTCTTTATCATGCTTCCTCTGCAATTTTCATTCATTAATCTTTATAAAGTTATCAATTAATTAATTTTCTATTTACTTTATTGTTGATGAAAAGTCTTGGTAATAATTTTCTCATTGGATCACATTTTTAAGAGTTCATTTACCTTTTAAAAGTAGATTCTGTAGGTACAGTTTATTAAACGGAAGACAGGGAATTAACATGGGTGAAAAATATTAGTACACATAACAATATATAGGATATATCAATTGTAATATACATCTATATTTTTATATACTAATATATATTAATATACAGTATTTCAGATACTATAAGTAGGAGAAAAAATTCGGTGGTAAAGGGATAAAAGTTGTCAAAATAAACTTAATATAGCAACCAACTAAAATTTATTGAAAGTAAAAAAATGAGATAGAGAGAGAGGAGAGGGAGAGAGGGTAGAAGAAAGAGAGGCAAAGAGAGAGAGAGAGAGAGAGAGAATGGAAAAGCGGGTAATAGAGGATGAAAAGTGAAAGATATTAACAATTTTTGTGAAATATCTTATTTTCTATAAATATAAAAATTTAACAAGAAGAAATAAAAGAAAGAAGAAACTGTCCAACCAATAAACATTTGTTAATTATTAATAAATGTTAGAAATTATATATGAAACTATTATAAAAAGAATAAATATCATGTATTTATTTAAATAATAATATCAATATATATACACATATATCTATATATATATAGTATATATACAGTATATTTATATATATATATATATGTTTATTATAAAATATTTACTTTAAATGGAACTAAAATAGTAAATCAGTGAAATGAAACTTGCATTCCAAAGCCGAAAAACAATAATTATCTTCAACACGATATTAATAGATTCAAAAGCCAACAACAACAATAAATAACAACCGTATTTGCAGAATATATACCTTTTATATACATATATATACTGTATATATACTGTGTATCGTCTGCATAAATCTATATTATTGTGTTTTCTAATACATCCATATTTTCTGTGAATATTCTATAGAAGAAACTTTATTTACATATTTATATAGTTAGTCATTATATATTGTATTTATATAAGAATTTTCAGCTGTAAAATACATAATATATTCGTATAGATGCAATCACGTTATTGGTGGAGGAGACGGAGAAGAAGGAACACGAAAAAATTACGAACAAGATAAAAAGTGGAAGATAGTAATAAAAGTAATACAAGATAGAATTTGGCGGTGGTAGAGTAGAAGGAGGTGCTATATGACAATAGGGTAAAGGAAGGATGAAAGGAAAAAAGAATTGATGAGGTCGAAAGAAAATCCCATGATTTTATAAAGCAGGAAATAGATGACGATAAATTTTGGTTCTACGGTCGTCTAAAACACGACTTGAGTGAGCATTGCATCTTGTCCAAAACGGTCTGAGATAAGTGTACACTTAACGTTCCTACCAGACGAAACTCTTATATTTATTATTCGTATCATATATTGGAATTGAACAAATTAAATTATATTTCTTATCTTTTCTACTCTCTGTCTCTCTCTCTCTCTCTCTCTCTATCATTGCCGTTAAATTTCTATATTCTTTTATTTTTATATCATTATATATGGTAGAGATAAGAAAGAAAGAGACAACAAAAAATTTCCCCACACCCTGCCTAACAGTATTTTAAGAGCTTAAACTGAATATTATATAATAAATTATTCAATAGAGCTTAAAGAGAGGTGCTTTGACCAAAGAAGACTATGAAAAGTAGCAGGAAATTAGGTAGGAGTAGTCATGACCAATGACTTTCACTATTAATTAGTATTCATTAACAGTCTTTCCAGCTATTTATAATTACTATTAATAATCCGTACTCGATAAATAAATTAAAAACTTTTTCTTCTTTTCCCTTTAGTTCGTACTCTTTAATAAGTTCTATTTTCTCAACAGGAAAAGAGAAGAGGAGATAGAGAAAAAGCAGAACTACCGGCTAGGTTGGGACGGTAGGTGAATGGGGTACAATGCGTAAGAATCATAGATAGACGAATGAACAAATACATTGATAGATAGATAGACAAATAGATGGATGGACGGATAGATGAATAAGGAAAACAGAGCATAGAACAAGTATTAATAGTAATAATAATATATAAATATTAAAACAGTTCTTTTTATTGTTCATTTGATATTTTCCACTGTGTTAATGTTTTGTTTAAATTTTGATTTATACTCTTAAACTACTTATAAAGTAATAATAAGCGAATAATAAAGGGAAAAAGAGAAAGAATGAATGAAAGAGAGAAAAAAAAGAACAAATCGTTGAGCAATAATCTAGAAAAAACAGTTAATAGTCCCCTTTTACGGAAGTCTATTTATTGTATTCTATCGACGCATCTCATTCAATAGAATCGACAACTATTCTGATGATAGTACAGTAGGGAATAACTGCCTAGAAAATTAATCAATAATATATCATTTGTTTGCATGGCAAACACCGAGCGTTTGTAATAACGATGTCATTTTTTCTTTAATCTCCTTTTACAGATCAAATCCCGTTTTCTTCTGGGTAATTTTTAGACATTATGTTTTTCTTTTTCGTCTTTATTAAGTAACAATATCGTCAAGTCTCTTTCATTTCCTTCTAATTTCCCTTGAAAAAGCTCGATTGACTCTTCAAAACCTTCCTAGATATTAAGAATACACATTAATGGGTTTGGCGTTTAATCCTTCTTCTTTTTCTGCTGAGAAAAAACAGCAGTGTCATCTAACGGATAAGAGAAAATTAATAATATTTTCCCTATTTAAAAAAGTTTATTCTTTTTAGTTACATTATATAAGGTTTATGAAGAAGGATTAGATTTTCTCCCTTTATCCCTCACCCACTAAAATTTTCAGCCAGCTTTCCTTTTCATCTTTTCATCTTTTCATCCTTCTCTTTTAAACGGTGACTTGTAAAAAGAATGCGAAAGAAACCAAGCAAGTAATTTTCTAGCTTTAGACGTTTTAAATATCCTTGACATGGATTCCAATAAAATTCTATTCTTTTGAAGAATTTCCACTAACCCTTTCATTTACTTCACTTGAATAATACAAGATTAATTAACCTCTTTATATTCCCTCTTCCTTGTATAATTCACGAATTATCGATTAAATTAGCAATATATTCAAAGATTATCAATGTACATGCATAATTATAAGTAAATTTGTAGATAATACTATTAATTAAATAGCTTATTGATTATATCAAATATAAACTTTTTGTTCTATTTATTCAAGACGAAATTCATTCAAAAAGTCTATTGTATTAACCCAAAATGCTATAAAGATAAAAAGGAATAATTATTCATTAGTGGCAAACTTCAATAAGTCTTTGAAGTTGAATGAATAGAAGGAATGGAAGGAGAAGATATTTTTCTAATTAATATAATTTTCTTGGGCAAAGAACCCTATTGAATGAATACGACCTCTAAAAATCTATAAAATAAAGTTACCTTTTTGATAAATTATCTTAAGATTATAGGCTTTTAATTTCTAAGGAAAGAGCGAGTAGTCTCTTTTTATAGTTATTATGCTGTATATACTGTAATATACAGTTTATATTTATATGTACTGTATGTTTATCCCCCCCCCTCCGCTCCTTTTTCTTTCTTCTTTTAAAGATTCTTTTCCGCCCCCTTCCAGCTCTATATCTCTCTTTTCTCTTTCTACTTTGTTCTTCTATATTCCTTCCTTTCCTATTATTTTTAATCATCAAGAAAGAAATTGATTTTAGAAAATTTATTCATAAATTATATCCACATTTCAGACATTGAATATAACAACCATTATTAGGTCGTTGTATTCTATATAAAGTAGTATATATCTATATATATACTGATATATATTCTGTATATACTAGGCCTAATCTATCACTGTCTTCTCTTTTCCCATAACCAATCTATAACGCTGAGAAAAGTAAAAGAACAAAAACAAGAAATGAATAATAACAATAGTAAAATGATTTTTTCACTCGTGTATTTACTTAATTGGTTACTGATTATGAAAAATATGAAATACTATTGATTTAATAAAATCATAATTTCATTTAATTCTCCCTTTACGGATTAATATTGAAAAGCGGGAAGAAGAGAGAATTTAGGAAAAGAGTAACCGAGGGAAGAGTGATGACAATTATTCGTATTTATCAAAACTATGTCCATTTTATTGTTTGTCGTAGATCGATCATCGTCATAGTATCGAGTGAAAAACACAGGGAAATCGATGAAGAGAACAGCGTTGAAGCTGTTGTAGATAGAGATTATTCGCACGTCTTATGATGAATTCTAATAATTCGAAGAAAGCAAGATATATATCTAATTCACAATTAGCGGATATTAATAATTATTTTCTAGAGAATAGCTTTCATAAAGAGAAAACAAATGAAAATGAATCTAATAACGAAGAGAACAGATCTTCCTATCATCTGAAATTGTATAATTTTTACGAAAATCTCAAGCAGTTTTTAACTTCCTCTACTAGTGGATACGTTATGGAAAAGAGGAGCGTCTACATATTCATAACTTTCTTCGATCTACTAATTAAAACTTCCTATAATATTAAGAGTATTTTAACGTTTTTGGGTGGAACTCTATGGTTCTTGTTTGCCTCTTTTCCCGGTGCTAAAATGTCTTTAGTAATTATCATTATCATCTATACAACAATGAAATTTAAGCAGTTTTATCAATTTTTTAATATGAAATATTCTCTGGAAAAGATCACCAATTTCCAACAAGATCATTCTCTTATGGAAGAATATAGTACTAAAATTTTGGACGATATACGTAGTTATTCGCAGAATAGAATAAATGAAATCATCTTTCTATCCCATCCGAAAATGGAATGTCTCTTATTAAAATTAAGCGAAAAGATGAATTTACAAGTACCCGAAGTCAACTTGAGTGTCTTACCTTACGGAATTGACGAAGAGTCGATTAACTTGGAATATTTTTCAGAGGACGAATTCTATGTTACCGTTGAAAAGAAGCGTTTAGAAAAATTTTTTAGGCCTATTTTTAGATCATTTCAACCTTACTTCCTTGAGAAGAGAGACTCTTTCTCTTCGCTTAGAATCATCGATGGATCGAAGAGGAAAAAGAACTCTACAGAAACTTATATATTCTCGCCAAAGAAGCTATTCGACGAAATTCAAATCGACACATCAATCTCTGAAGTTTTAATACGAACTTCAACATCTACTCAAAAGTTTGATATGAAGAAGAACGTCGCCATTAGATTAGCTAAATGGCCTAAATTGTGCAGAAAGTGGCTACAGACTGCCTCGAAATTACTCCCTCAAAATCTTTATGCAGATATACTCAACTGCGGTATTTTACTCTCCAATTCAGAAGTTCAAGCATTAACCTGGAAAATCTGCTTTGATGAAATTTCCATAAAACTTTTAAACTATTTCTCAATTAGTCATCCAAACCTGATTAAAGCCTATACTATAGTTTTATTAACAATTCATCAAAAGTATAAAGAGGATAGACAAGATAAATTAGCCAAGAATTTACGTCAACAACTACGTACTGTTGTTTTTAATTTAGCATTTAATCTCGACCATTCAGGATCGATTGAAGAGAATTCGATAATAATTCTAGATAAATACGCTAGATATTTGAAGGAAAAGAATCTAGTTTCCTTCTTTATGGACAATGTTGATTTGTTAAAAATATATCAGGAAAAAGACATTGAAATCTGTTTAGAAACAATTCAAAAGGTTAAACACTGTTTCGCCTATTATATTCTCAAGTATTATTGGCATTTTATCGAAACAACGCAATAGTATATATACTCTTTACTATAATAGCATAACAACCATAATTTTAGACGTCACTTCCTCCTTTCAACTATAAAAGTAAATAAAGACTTTCTTAGTCATATGACAAATAAACCGAGTTTTTCCTAGTTTTTGTAAAAATTTCGTAGTGGTTAAAACTATAATTTTGTGGTTATCCCAGTGAAAAATCTTACGTTTGTAATGAATGAACTTAATAACAATAATAATGGAATTTTTAAAAATTAAATAACCATACCAAAAACCATAGATATTGCGTAAGAACATAAACTTTTCATAGAAGACGAGAAGAGGCAGGGGCAAGTTATCAATTTTTGAGAATGCTACCGGCAGTTATAACCAAAGTTTTTGTGTTCTTACTTTTAGCAAGCCTCGCCCTCAGTGAATCAACAGACATAGGTGATGTTTTGAAGAAGTGCGATCTAGAGGACATTAAAGACGCCTTGGACGTTTGCAGTGAATGTTCAAGTTATCTACACGCTTGTTTTCAGATAGATTGTGGTCAGGATCTCTCTCACAATCAAACGTGTATATTAGGTAAAATTTGTTAATTTGTTTTTCTTTTCAATTATATATCTACTTTATGCGTTTATAGAACACGTAAAAATAGCTGCAATCAATGACAAGGATTGTAGCATATGTGTCAGTCTACAATACAAATTGGACAGTGGGTGCTATAAGTTAGTGATTGAAGAATCATTAGGTAAAGATAAACTACATTCAATAGTATTTCGTGTATATGTTTTCCATCTCCCAATAGGTAATGACAACTATTGGACAAACTACGAGGATTATGAAGATCAGAGTAGTGGTTATAACTGCGGTATCTTTGAACCACAGAATGATGTTGATAAAAAAAAAAGGAAAAGGGACAACAAGAACAATTTTATGTCACACAAAATCGTTCTGTATATTTTAGTCAGTGTTACCTCATTATTGTTTGTAGCGTCGTTAGTTTTATGGTGGCGAAAGACATCAAATTATGACGGCTATGAGACGACTAGAGTATAACCACCTCAAGAATAATTCAGAGGTTTTTTTTATATGTAATGAGATTGTTGTGAGTTTCAAAATAAAAAAAAACTTTTCTGATTTTTGATATAAAAAGCGCAAATTTTGTCTTAGTCATCCGATATATAAACAACAGATAGATGGCGCTTTTACAGCGAAATAAAAAGCGCCACCTGTATGTTAGAATAGCATTCAAATAGGTATGATAGAGTGAAAGCTCTTATAGAACGTTAACAGTTTGCGGATGATAGCGCGAAAGAGAGAGAGAAAGAAGAAGGAAAATTAAAAGAGGAAGAGTATATACAGTTGTGAAATATTAAAGCTTGTTTCTCTTCGGCTTAGAAAAAATATTGAACAGGGAAAGATAAGAAATATGAGAGTGGATTTTATTATTACATGGGAAAATTATAGTATATCGAAACTCTTCTAGCTTAAAGACTGCAGTTTAGCAGTTGGTCGGTGCTGTGAATGGACTATGACAGTAAGTATGTTAGAAGAACCTAACCGTACTCTTTTGACAAACAAAGTAGCTATAAATATTTTAGAATGGGAAATGATGCGTTAATTGTACATGCGCTGTAAAACCCTGACTAAATTAACAAAAATAACCATCGACTTTTATTTTGAATTCGGCTTTATTAATAGCGTTGTTTAAATCGAAAACTATACTATATATATATATATATACATTTATGCATGTTATAACTCCTTTCAACTGGTATATCTCGTTAGCACCATTAGTATTATTAATCATTACGATCTCTTAATTAAATCTTACAGGCAAAAAAATAAACTATTTATATATACGGTTTATATATTTATTTATAGCATAAATATATGTATACAGTACAATGTAATATATGTACTGCTTTGCTCATCTATTCTATACGGTACAAGTATTATCATTGCCTACATTCATCTACGGTTCTATCTGTATTAGATTACTATATTGTCTATATATTTCCCATTTCCTATTCTCGTTGCTTGTCCCTCTCCCGCATCTTTATTGACACGTAAATATGACTCTGTTAACCACCTACGATGTTTTATGAAAAAAAAACACAATTATAACAATTATATAAACAAGTACAGGTTTTTCATGTATCTCTATACAATATATATTAAATTATTGTGTCTAAAGAAAGACACCAATCGACTTTAATTACCTCTTAGAACGTCATTAGTGTAATTTTCAAGTTATCTTACGCATTTGTTGATAAAAGAAAAAAAGAAATTACTATTTAAATAGACTAAAAGAGAGAAGCGAAAAAGCTTACAACTATTTATTAAAGAACAAATAAACGAAAGAAATAGCTTGAATGTCTATAAAGAATCTATTCAAAATATTAAAATTTAAATACTACGTTGTTTATTCTTTTGTTAAAATTTTTACTATTCTTAATTGAATCAAGAATTCTACGCAATTTTCACTTGCTACAAATATCACGCAATTACTCCCCTTTTTTTTCATCTATTACTTTAAGACCAAAGTCAAAATAATAATAATAAAAAAAAAAACATTGCTTAAAGAACTTTCATTCGAGATATTTTGTTGATCGATTTAAAACAAAAAAAAAGTCTAGTCAAAGCAAAATATACATTTTTTTGTCGTTTTTACAATCATTCTCGAAAATAAATATAATAAAAGTTGTTTAAATCACGCTGTAAGGGTGAAGCCGAATTTTTTAAGTGCAGATTGATGTAACGACAAACTCGATGACACCTGAAGAGAGAGGAACATTCAAAGAGAAAGAGGGAGAAAATAGAGATATATATATATTTAGAGAGAGAGGAAAGCTAGACCAAGGGAAGGAACGAGAGAGATAGAGAGCGAGCAGCAGAGACAGACAGTCAGATAGACAGAGAGAGAAGCTCAATGATTAACTAAACAAGGATTTCCGTAAAAAAGCTAAAATTATCATGGAATTGAATGAAAATATAATGCTTTCCACTATACGACCCATTATTTAACCGAATGTAAATTAATTAGAATAAGAGCAGTACTCCCAGTTTACCCTCTGTAAAATATCCTCGGGAAGTACTCACATATTTATGCACGCTAAATTTGTACCTGCGTACATCTAGACTATATTGTAGACGATATGCAATATATGTGCACATATATACAGTATGTGTATAAATCCATTGTAGACGTTTTAACCGGGAATATTCTTTCTCAGGTAGTCAATGTGTAATGATGTTATATTTTATAAGCTCCTTACTTAACCAATGCCTATAGCAAGTTGACAACTTGCTATGGATTATTTTCTTTTTTTCTTCTTCTTTATCACAACTTGCCAAGCTTTTCAACATTTCGGATTATCTTTTTGTCCCGTTTTTTTTTCACTTTCTCTCCTTCTTCCTCTCGCTACTAATTTCGTATTCTTCACTTGTAGTTTTACTTTCTCTGCCCCTTCTCTGCCCCTTCCCCCCCTCTCTCTCTCTCTCTCTCTCTCTTTCCTCCCCAACTGACCGTCTTTTCCATTTTTTTTCTACTTTTCTCCCTTTTTTCAATTTTTTATTACTAATTAATCCATTAACGCTATAACCTGGATGAAAATCGAGAATGGTGCTATTCTAGATTCTTAAACGGATTATTTGTTCAAATGGACATTTTATCCTTCCTTCCAATTAGGATAAATGATTAATGAAATTGAAATTAAAAAAAAAGACAGAAAGAAAAAACAGGGAAAAGAGACAGCAAGAGAGAGAGAGAGAAAAGAAAATAAGTGAGAGGAAGAGTAGGGAACGGGTGAGTGTCATGGAAAAAAAGAAGGACAAGGTGAATAGGAAAAAAACGAGTAAAACTGGAGAGGCACCAAAACGGGTTCGAGAAAATAGCATTTCGGAAATGGTTATCTGTTAATTAGTGAAAGAATAAAGGAAATTAGAGAATAATCTATTTCTTTCCTCTCCTTCTTTCAACCTCTTTCTCCGTTATTGCGTATTACATCGTAAAGTTGTATAGCCTTATATGATATTAGATATACTGTATATTCTATCTCTATATATCTGTATGTATAAAAAAAAACTACCAAGCTAGTAGCAATCGCACAAAATTCTTTTATCATATGAAGCAATCAGGTGGAACTTATAGTAATTAATTCGCCGATTTCTTAATCTTCCCTCATTAAATTCTTCTCTATCCTTTTTCCGCCTTTTCCCATATCTCTTTTTCTTTTATGAACCTTTCGTTAACTGCCTACTTACGAGGAGGCGAGTAGAATACGTCGTAAGCTAATAACTACCGCTTTGCCTTCTGGCGTTGTGTTAATTTTCGACAACAGATCTTGTACCTTGTCGATTTATGAAATAGCCTTGATTAAACTAATTACCGTAGGTTACACTTTAAAATCACGTCGAAGTTCTAAGGACGTTTAAGCTCGTTAGGCATTTAGACTTAAAGGGAGTATTTCGCAAAGAAGAAAGACCATAATAACTTAATTTGGTAGTTTGCGTTTTAAACTTTTTCATTTATAAAAGAAGCCGATGAAGGAGGATAAGGCAGAAAAGGGGAAAGAGATGTCTGTCTATAAATCTGTAAACGTTTTCGTTGGCTTAGATCTAAGTGAAAATTTATGAAATAGAGTTTCTATGGGAAAAGCGAAAAGGAGAGAAGAAGTAAACGGACCATTGATAAAACTATACTAAAATCTGTACATCTAGAATTCTAGGAATGATTAAAAATAATATAAATAATGATAGTAATAATAAATATAGATAAGATCTGACTGTAGCTTTGTAGAAAGCGAAGCAATAATCTAATAAATTGTCGACTACGTACTGTTATTACTAGCTAGTCGGTTGGATAGCGTCTAGGCAAAATGATTTTGGCTTCATTTCAAAAAAGAAACTTGTTATGATTCTCTTTTTACTTTTAAGGAGGGAATTTTTAACTATACAACATTTTCTTAACACTAAAACGCGAATTTTTTCTGATTCAACAGGTAGAACGTAGCATTAATGCCGTATTATACTCCATCGTTTTGCTAAAAGGTAAGCTTTTTATACTAGCTTTATTTTACGCCATACAAACAATGACAAACTCGGACAACGCGTGGATAAGCTTTCTTAGAATATAATACTAATGTAGTTCCTGTCACTGTACCATTGTGGTATAGTATTCTTTGCATATTTTCTACTTCCGGTTTTCATGTAACGAATTTCTCGTTCGATCATTTGTTTGTATACTATTTTATTTCGATTTTATTAGATTTAATCGATTAAAAAAAAGAACGGCAGAGAGGAAGAGTGAGAGAGAGAGAGAGAAGCTAAAAAAGGATTAATCACTCTGCTTTCCAGCGTAATACGGAAAAATATTATCTAAATTTAGTTACGTCATACAGTCATACAGTAGTAATGGAAAACTATCTAAGTCTAGCAATTATGTGTAAATATTGAACGAGTTTGTCCATAAATTTTTCAATCCCACCCCTAACAGACCAGCGTAGTTTCCGTTCGTCTTATATAATCTAGTTATTTACTTAAATCAATATACTATGGAATATTTTGAATGTACATAAAGGATAGACTAAAACTATTATACCTATTTCATTCTGTCTCATTCTTTCGGGCTCATCAACTGACAAACTATACACATTCATAATAATTAAGAGAAATTGCTAGCCCCCAAAGGACGGTTAGCGAGGCGCGTCGCATTAGCCGGACGGTTTTTTAACAATGCTTTTATTTCTTATCGTTCCTTCTTCTCTTTCTTCGTCTGTTTCTTATTTTGTTTGTCAGACTAGCCGAAGCTATTTTATAATTCCTAGAATCAACTCTACCCAATTCACTATAATCATTTAGACAATAATTCAAAAGTTGGTCGACTTCCAATTGTTACACTTTAGTCCATTAGTGACAATCTCCTGGGCCGGGAGGATACAAACAAAAAAATAAGGGAAATACAATCTTTTTTGGTTTTGCTGGTGTCTAGCGACGAGTCCGTATAATCTAATGTAATTGAAGCAGATTGCTAAAGTACTCGACCGAAACCACCC